GTGAGCTCAACCTGAGGTTGCTTAAGAAAATCGGTCAGGCTTTGCAGCGCGAGCACCTCTTTTTGGCGGGCGGGGACTGGAATCTGGCTCCCAGTCTCATTGAGTCAGTTGGCCTACCCCGCCGCCTCGAGGCTATCTTGTTCGTGCCTGAGGAACGCACGTGTGTCAGCCCCTCCTCCCTCACTACCCTTGATTTCTTCCTGGCCCCCAATAGTTTTTCGAGGGCGGTTGAGGGTGCGAAGGCCGATCTGACGTGGACGGGGCGGCCCCACAGGCCAGTTCAGTTGCAACTTCGTGATCGTGCTGTGTCGTTGTACCAGTTAACTTACAGGTCGCACCAACGACTTCCGTGCGGGCTGCCTGTGGGACCGTCCCCTTGCCCGCAGAATTGGAGCATGGCTCGCGACATCGCCGAATGCGCGGCCGATGCGGCTATTTCTGCTCCCGTCGGCGAGGCGCGGAAACTTTTGAGCCAAGCGTGGGTGTACTTCTCCAACACCCTCGAGCTCGAGCTCGAGTCCTTTACGGGTGTCCCAGTTACCAGCAAGGGCCACAAGGGTTCTAGGTTGAAGGCGCGTTGGATTCCCATTTTTTCTCGTCCTAAAGGTAATGCCACGAACCTGGTTTTCGTTGGTTGGGAATGGTTGGCCCAGCAGCTTCGTGAAACCCTCGGGGCCTGTCGTCGTTTCCAGGAGGCGGAGCAAGGGATTGACCAGGACCCTAACAAGCTCGATCAATTGTGTCAGGGCGTGAATCAGCAGATGCAGCTTGTTGTTGCTCAGCCATGCCCTGGAGAGGGACTCAGCGCGCGCCTGGACAGCACGATTGCACAGTCTCGTGAGCTCGTGCGTCGTGGGTCCGCTTCTTCAGCCACGTGGCTGACTGACCTTGACGAGTTCCTCCAGTCTTGGGAGGGCGACTACGATGAGGCTGTCAAGGCCATCAAGAAGGGGAGGCAGGACTCATGGGATGAATGGCAGGAGAAAGCGTTACGGGTGGACCCCTACCACGATCGAAACTCACCCTGGCATTTGTTCGGCCAACCCTCGGGACCTGCTCGAGGCCGAGAGCGAAGCTTTGGCTAGCTTTTGGCATGCCAGCACGGCGCCGTCTAGTGTGCGGGTTCCGAATAGGAATCATCTTCCGAGGCCAACTGCAGGAGAGATCCGCAGCGCCAGCGCCAGCTTCTCGGCGCTCACCTCCCAGTCGCTCGACGGGCTGCACCCGCGGCAGCTCTCTTTGGTCTCAGATGCGGCCCTCGACACCTTCGGCGCCCTCGTTCAGGCTATTGAGTCTTTGGGGCTGTTCCCCAAACAGTTGTTCTGGTTACTGTTCCCTTTGTTGGAGAAACCCAAGGGCGGGCTCCGACCCATCCTGTTATGCGCTGGGCCCGTCCGTGTATGGGAACGCCTCCGCAGACCTTGGCTCGCCGATTTTAACGACCGTTTCCCCCGACGTTTTTGGGCCTTCGGCCCTGGCCGCAGCCCCGAGGATGCTGTGTGGCATCAGGCGGCGGCCAGCGAAGTGGCGGCTCAGACGGGCCAAGTGTCTCTTGGGGTGATCTGGGACGGTACCAAGTACTACGAAAGTTTCGATTTGGTTTTGCTCAGGGATCGTGCTCTCAAGTTTGGGTTCCAGGAAGTCATTGTTAAAACCACCTTTAACTTCTGGCGAGGACCCCGAATCGTTAGGCTTGGCAGCATGTATGGCACGATCCCCTACTTCGCCACGTCGGGCCTACCCGCGGGCGACGGATTTAACGACCTGTTTGTCCGTGTGTACAGCCTCGAGGCCTTCGACGGCTACACGATGGCCAACCCTCTCGTCCCTCTCTCCTCCTATGTCGACGATGATGCTCTGACGACGCAGGCGGATACGGAACAGGAGGCTCTCAGTCGCATGGTCCAGGCGTGTGCGCACATGTACGTTATGTTCCGCGACAGTTTGAAGGTCGGCCTCCAGGCGGATAAATTAACCACGTTTGGGAGCTCTCTTTCTTTGGCTAGAAAGCTTGGCGCTTTGCCCGGCCAGAAGGCTGGCCTTGTCACGAACAGCACCGTTTCTCTTGGCACTGATTTCGCCCCTGGCCAGGTGAGGTCGGCTCGTAATGCCCTTTGGAAACGCCGATCCCGTTTCGATTCAATGTTTAAGCGTCATAAGAAGTTGCAGAAGATGAGGAGCCGACTCCCTCGGCAGAAGGGCCGAATCGGGAAGATCTACGTGGCTGGCATTGCTCCTGCTGCCACCTTCGGATCGGCCGTCGTTGGTTTGAGTGACTGGGAGTTGTCCCAGGCCAGGCGTGTCCTCCTCTCCTACAAACCCCCTTTTCACCGTGGTTGTTCCCTTACGGCCAAACTTGCTTTGCATGGGGACCACGTCGACCGTGCCAGCGTGGCCCCCGCGGTTCATTGGGCCTCGATCGTCTGGACGGCCATTACTTCCCACGCGACTTCCTATTACACGGTTAAGGAAGTTTGTCAGATGTGGTGCCGAGTGCCTTTCGACCAAGATGTGAGTTGGAAGAGTTCGAGGGGGCCCATCCAGAGAATGCATCTGTGTCTCTCTCGCGTGGGCTGGTGTGCCACGTCTGCTCTCACTTGGGAGGACGACTACGGTCGCGAAGTTCACCTCGGTTTCAATTCTCCCAGCATGGTGAGTCATTTACTTAGGCTGGCCACCCAGCGCAGTTTTGAACGGAAGCTGGCTTCGGACATCGTGAATTTTCCTGGTCACCGCGTGACTCTTGACCCCTTGCAAAAACTCCTGGGGCCCAAGTCTAAGGTTTTGACCGATCGGGAAAACTACCTCGCCAGCTCTGTTTTCTGTAGTGGAGTTTGGACCCGCACGCGAGCTCGCGCGGCAGGTTACCAGAGCGACGGCAGATGCCCCTTGTGCGGTGAGGTCGACAGCATCCGACACCGCGGGTGGTTGTGTCAGCATCAGACTGCACGGGCTGTCCGAGCCGAAGCAGTGGGAGAACAGCTGGAGCTTTTTCAGGAGGCCCTGGAAAGTGAAGATCGGTTTTAATGGGACGAGCTCAAACTCGAACATCCCGAAACCCTCCACCCCCCTCCGTCCAACCACCCTGCCCCCACCCTCTACTCGGCCGAGGGGGCCGAAATCGAGTGGGGATCCGTGGACTTGCGAGGGTGCGAAGTGTGCATGGACGGATCCTGTCTCCGTCATGCGGTGCGCGAACTTAGCCGTGCTGCGTATGCGTGGGTCTTTCTGGGCCCAGGTGAAACCATTTTGGCCTACGCTAAAGGAACTGCATGGGACGTTCTTCCCCAGACGCCGCAGGCGGCCGAGCACCAAGCCATGGCCTGCCTGCCCATCTATGTAGAGTACACGGGTACTCGCATCAGTGACTGCATGACAGTGGTCAAGCTCTGCCTCACCAGCCCGACGCACCAGACGTCGGCCAAGCACCGTTATGCAGGCATGCGACGTGGGGCACTGCTTCATGAAAAACGTGATCATGACATCGTCGTGCGGCACACACCAGCGCATCGGTCGCAAGAGGTTATCGATTCGCTCTCGCCCGTGGACAAGAGGATCGCCGTTGGCAACAGTCTCGCTGACTCGCTCGCCAAACATGCCCTCTCCCTCCACCCCCGTCCCTCGAACCTGAATTCGGACATTATCGAGTCGAATTTAGTCAAGTTGAATTTCGCGGCCAGAGTTCGGGCCAAAGTTTTGTGTGTTTTCGAGGTTGAACGGTTTGAACGCTCCCCTGCGGGGCCCCGCGCACGCTTCCTCAAGTCAGGGGGTTGGCACGCGTGGGAACCCCTTGAGCAAGGCCGAGCGCGGTGTCTGAGATGCCTAACTTTTTGGAAGGACCCGTCCACCAGACCAATGATCGGCTGCCCTGGGCCCAGCAAGACCTGGCGGGGGGTCCTCGATTTCAACAAAGGCCACACGCTAGCGCATACGCGTGTGACCAAGAACGATGTTGAGGCCACTATGTTTTTCTGCACGACGTGTGGGGCCTACACGGCCAAGAGGTGTTACCTGCTTGGCCGCGACTGCCCGCTACGCAGGCTGTCAGGGGCCCCCACGACTCTCCGTCGCATCTTTGACGGACAGCACCCTCATTACAGGGATGAGGGGGCTCGTCTCAGCGTGTCGAGTCGCCGTGGAGCGGCCTACATGCAGTTCGCTGCGGCTCTGCCGCCGCCGCCTGACGTTCGCCAGCCTCTGCGTGGGATGGAGTCCCTGCCTCAGACTCCAGGCATGCGCGCTCTCGTGGCACGTATTCAGGCTCGGGAGGCTGCTGCGAAGGCAGCACCCCCCCGAAATGTTTCTCGAAGCCGCAGTCGCGGCCGCTAAGTCATTAGCATCGGTCCTGCCCTCTGGGATTGCAGAGGAAAAAAAAAAACTTTTGCGGCCCTGACATGTGGATCTCATCGCACCGGGGCCTCGGCCGACCACCGAGGCAGGAGGGGCGCGGGAGACTTCACCCGGCAGACGCCCGCATCCCTCCTCCGGGAGGCAGGCGTCCAGCAGAGCCCGGGGGGCCCCAAGGCGGCGCGGTGGCCACACCGTGTGGTGCGTCGGTGGGGAGTCGGGGTCACCGCACGGTTTTGGGACTGGGGTCGTTCTCCGAGGATGTCTCGCGCGTGCCCCTCTACAGGAGGAGTAGTCAAAAATTGTCAAAAGAGGGACGATGTTTGGAGTATTTTGGCGACCTTTTTTCATTTTTATTGTTATTCTCATTTGCGTGTTTATTATCATTTTTATTATTGCTATTATTATTATTATGATTAGTGGTATTATTATTCCTTTTGGACTATTTCGATGTTTCGTCCAAAATCCCCTTGTAGGGGGAGCCCGACCTAACTAAGTCCAGCAGGTCGGGGGGAGAAAGCAAGAATGGCCGGAGCGCTGAGCTGTCTTTTCGCCCTTGCGCGAATAGGTCGCTCCTCCCCTGCCCAAGTGCCGTGTCTGGGGGAATTCCGTGAGCACCCCGCATGTTGTTGGCGCCACGTGCCGTCCGCGAGGACAGCCGCTTGGGCCAGTGAAGGCCGCGAGGCGATCTTATGCAACAAGCTCCAACATCTAGCTAATCTACGTGTGTTTGTTTCTGAGTTGTTGCAGCCCCGGCAGCCCAAAGCTACCTTCCAGACGCTATGACACTATGACTACCCATTGCAGCTGCCCCCGTGGAGCCGCTGACGGTGACGAGATACCTGCGCCGCGCGATGGAACACACTGGAAGCAGAAAAAAATGTGCGCGCGCCGTGCGATGCAACGCACCGGAAAGAGAAAGATCATGCACCACTGGTTTTCCTAATCAGTGCTTGCATGCTCGCGGGGAGGGAGGAGAAGGAGGAGGATCGTGCTCAGAAGCCGGGCGACTGCTGGCAAATCCGTGGCTCCCAAAACGGAGCTCCTGGATATTGTTTTTTTTTCTTCCAGGAAGCAGCCCGTTTGCTGCTTTGTGCGCTGATCTCGATTCCAGGAAATGTTTTTCCTCCTCCAGGAAGACCGTTTCAGCAGCCACGGATTTGCCAGCCTTCGCCCAGCTTCCAAGACAAGGAGGAGGATCGTGTAGAGGGCCACATGCGAACCCTACCCCTACCCCCCACGATTTCTGAGGGGGAGTGTGGGGTTCACTTCGTTCGGGAGCTCCCGAGCGAAGTGAACCCCACCTTGCCCCTCAGAAATCGTGGGGGGGCAGGGGTAGGGTTCGCATGTGGCCCCCTATCGTGCGAAGCGAAGGTGGGCAGGGGAGGAAGATGGAGCAACGAGCGGCGGTCCAATGCCCCGGGGCCCCCGCCGACTGCAGGCGCCGTGGCGCGCCGGCGCCTCGTGGCCATGCAACTCGCCAAGCCCCTGTCGCAACACGCGGGCACTGGGCGAGGCTTGGGCAGCGCGGGCGTGCGAATTCAATCGACAATCATCGCCTAGGTGAGAAGAAGAAAAACGCCACAAGCATTAACTTTTGGCGGTCCGCGCGGATTTCTTGGATCCGCGATGGCCCCCCCCAGCGGCGCCTCCGGCGCCGCCCCTGGCGCGCTCCGCGCGCCAGGGAGGGGGATCCAGCGCAGATCCAAGAAATCCGCGCGGAGCGCCAAAAGTGTATGTCTATGACGTTTTTTCTTCCTCTGTAGGTGCCCCGAGGTACAGTGCCGAGGTCCCCACGCATCGCCCCCCCAAAACTCCCACTCATCCAGGGCTCGTTTAGACTCCTCCGATTCGATTCGATCCGATTTCGATGGATTCCGATTCCGATTCGATTCGATTTCGGATTCCGATTTGGGCTCCGATTTCTCAAGGAGGCCTTGCTGCTCTGCCGATTTCCGCCGATCCGATTCATGTCGATCGTCGATTCGACGGATCGATTCGATTCTGGGCTCTCCCACTCATCGCCGATGGGGGCCCGATGGCCCCAGATCCGCCCGGGAAGGTGCGGCTTCGCAGTCGAGGGCCCGTCGCCGAGCTGTCAGCGATGGCATCGCCGATTCCCATCCGATGTTTTTCAGGAGGGGAAGAAACACACAGATGCAATTAATCGTCGACCCTCAAGAAAATATGGGAAAATATGGGAAGTGGGGGGAAGACAGAAATCCAGAAAATGCAGGAAAATATAGGGAAGCCTTTTATTTGTGTGTATTGATTTGTGTGTCCTGGGCCCCTTCAGTTTTTCCCCCACTGAGCCGCGCCCCCTCCGATCGTTCCTCGTCAGTCCAGGGCCAGGGGAGAGGCAGGAAGTGGGAAGTCGGGTCTGTCCCTCTACAGGAGGAATAGTTGTTCAAAAATAGTCCACACATCGTTTAGGAACGATGTTTTGACAAATGTTGCATATATGCAGAGTATCTTTAGGGGCATGTTTGTATTTGTCGTCCAAAATCCGCCTGTAGGGGGACATGCCCGACTTGAAGGAACTGGGGTAAGGGCTATGGTTCAGTCCCAGCCTTGGTTACCTGAGCTTTGTTGCAGGCCCAGCACAGAGGAACAACACACTGCACAAACATAAATTCTTTATGCTTCGCGTATCCCCACCAGCCCATCTCACAACAGCAACTCTTGCGAAGCATGCCGACAGTCGTGTTTTTCAGGCGTGTGTCCGCTTGGCCCCGCATATCTCCCCTGTTCCTCCTTCCTCCCGCCTCCTTGTACATCCTCCTTGTGGGGGGAGCGGGAGAAGGACGAGGCGGAGGAGGAGGGAGAGAAAGCGCTCCTCGTGGTTTGAGTCGTTTGGGGTTTCTCGTCCTGGTGTGAGTCGTTCGGGCCCTTCTTCCTGGTGTGAGTCGTTCGGGCTCTTCGTGGTGTGAGTCGTTCGGGCTCTTCGTCCTGGTGTGAGTCGTTCGGGCTTCTCGTGGTGTGAGTTGTTCGGGCCCCTCGTCCTGGTGTGAGTCGTTCGGGCCCCTCCTCCTGGTGTGACTCGTTCGGGCTCCTCGTGGTGTGAGTCGTTCGGGGCCCTCGTCGTGGTGTGAGTCGTTCGGGCTCCTCGTGGTGTGAGTCGTTCGGGCGCCTCGTCCTGGTGTGAGTCGTTCGGGCCCCTCCTTCTGGTGTGAGTCGTTCGGGCTCTTCGTGGTGTGAGTCGTTCGGGCCCCTCGTCCTGGTGTGAGTCGTTCGGGCTCCTCGTGGCGTGAGGCGTTCGGGCACCTCGTCCCCTTTTGGGGCGTCTTGGGGGCCTCTTGGCGGCCCCAGGGGCTTCTAGGAGCGTCTTGGGTGCCTTGGGGGAGCCTCTTCGGGCCTCTTGGGAGCCTCTTGGAGGCCGTTTGGGGCGTCTTGGGGGCCTCTTGGCGGCCCCAGGGGCTTCCAGGAGCGTCTTGGGTGCCTCGGGGGAGCCTCTTGGGGCCTCTTGGGGGCCTCTTGGGGGCATCTTGGGGGCCTCTTGGAGGCCTCTTGGGGGCCTCCTGGGGGCCTCTTGGGGCCATCTTGGGGCCTCTTGGTGCCTCCTGGGCGCTTCTTGGGGCCATCTTGGAGGGAATGGATCAAAGAAGAGGGGAGCTTTAATGAGCGCTGCCCCCTCAGAAGGGCAAAATGAGCCCAAAACCTTCGTAAAATCAATGATTTTGCCTTGAAGGAAGAGGGGAACTTTAATGAGCGCTGCCCCCTCAGAAGGCCAAAATGGGGCCAAAACCGTAGTAAAATCAATGATTCTGGCTTCACAGAAGAGGAGAGGGTTTTTTCTGGTTCCCCCCGTCGGGGCCAGAATCCTCGTGAGGGTCGTCGTTTTTTAGCCCTCCCAGGAGTCGAAAATGACCCCCCTGACGACCCGCGAAACCCCCTCTCCAGGTCCAGGGGGAGGGGGTAGGGGGAGGGGTAAACCCCTCCCCGAAGGGGAAGAAGGGGGGTTGAGAACAGAGAGGACTCGCTAAACCACTCACGCCCAAAGGGCTGGTGGTACTTTTGGAGCTCCTCGCGGATTTCCTGGCGCGCGGAGCGCGCAGTGGGCGGCGCGGGAGGCGCCGCCAGGGGGAGCCCAGCGCCGATCCAAGAAATCGGCGCGGAGCTTCAAAAATTCCATGATCATGCAGTTGTTGTTTCTTCGGCAGCGCCTGCCTTCCTCGCAAGGCCATGGCCGCTTTGAAGAACGAAACCGGCCAGGCACTGGACAGGTTGCCAGCATCTCGCGCGTGTTGCCAGCGCAGCGACTACCTGGGTTGTGGGGAAAGACAGAGGGGAGGGGCAGGAGAGGCATTGGCTTTGAAGGTCGGGAAGACTTCTTGGCTCCTCTTCCTCCCTTCTCATCCTCCTCCCCTCCTTCTCCCCCTCTTCCTCCCCCTGATCCTTCTTCTCCGCCTCCTCCTCCTTCTCCTCCTCTTCCTCCTCCTCTCCCCTCTCCACCTCCTCTTCCCAGGGGCCATGCTCCGCATCGGCCGTCTGATGAACCACCAGTCGCTGCTGGACTCTTGATGTTGCGCTGCTGCTCCTCCGCCCAAGGTCAACTCCTCCTCCTCCTCCTCCTCCTCCTCCTCCTCCTCCTGCTCCTCCTCCTGCTCCTCTTCCTCCTCCTCCTCCTCCTCCTCCTCCTCCTTCTCCTCCTCCTCCTCCCCCTGAGAACGGGGAGGAGGACAGCACGTGCTCACCCAGCTGCTCTGCACTGCATCCGTCGCCGGAGGCTGTGCACCACTCCAGACAGCAGATCGGACTCTAGCTCTGGCAATGCCAGCGCTGCTCCGCTTCTCGTCGGCCTCACTGCAGCAGACACCAAGGATCATCTCCCTGGGAAGAGGAGGTGGAGGAGGAGGAAATCGGGTTTAGGTCCGGGCCTAATCCAGCTTGATCCAGCTCAGTTGCCCACGTTCTCAGGCTCGGTGGCCTGGAACCGTTCTCACCACGACCTCCCAAGAGCTGCTTCCTGACCTCCGGAGCGAGGTACTGGCTGGGCCATCTTCCGCGTGGGCCTGATGCACCGCCGGTCGCTGATGGGCGCCATATCCCTGGCAGGCGCGCTCTTCGTCGGCTGCGAGCTGCAGGCGCAGAGGAGGTGCGGGTCTCGGGCCGGGGGCGCGGGAGAGCCGAGATCCTCGCGTCGCGAAGAGCGCACTTTGTCGGATGGATGTCGTTGGATGGCTCTCTCAAGCTCTCCGCCGCCTCACGCTGGGCGTGCTCAGAGCAGCAGCGCAGGAAAGCCAGAGGGAGGCGCGGCATCGACAGTGTAGCGCCGCACCCACACGGTACAGCTCGGCATCAACACGGCGTAGCTCCATCCAACAAGAAGGGTCGACGTTCGAGGGTTTCGCGCCTGTTGTCCGCATCTCTTCGGCCTCCAGCCTCCAGGAGCCCAGGCCTCGGAGCAGATAGGGCCAGAGCAGGTGGGAGTGGACCCTACGAGTCCAATCGACTCTGAGGCATCGGGCTTCCCCGTTGGGCCTCACTTTTCTGCAGATCTCCCTTCTGGGAGGGGAAACGGCACACAGACACAATGAATCGTCGATGCCGAGGAAAAGATGTGGAAACGCGGGAAGTGGGGGGGGGAAGAGGATAATCAAAATATAGGGATTCCTTGGAGTTGTGTGTATCAATTTATGCGTCCCAGGGCCCCATTGATCCTTCCAATTCGGAACGCCAGCCGGTTTTCTCACGAATCCAACCTGCAGTGGAGGGGTTCGTGTGAGCGACGGAAGCGGGGTCGACTGCGCGGGCATTCGCGCCTGGGCTTTCCGTCGTTCGTGAGCGCCCTTCTCTCCGCGCGGCTTACCCTCGGTCGTTCAAAGTAGGTATTTCGGGATTCCCAGATTCCGCGAGTCTTTAGCCGACATCTTATTTTCCTGCCTGAAGAGGAGGGCCCCCCCCCCCCTTTACTTCCATCGCTCTCCTGCTTCATGCTTCTACCCAGCTCTTCCCACCGATGTGCAATGGGCCCTGTGGCCATCAACGACCGACTCGGGATGAGGAGTTGCCCCCAAGGGAGGCGTCGAGCATTCCAGGGGTCAGCGGTGCGAGCAACAGCGCTGCGAGCAAAAACACAACGTCGGAGACTTGGGGAGGAGTGCGATTTGTGTGTGTGTGTGTGTCACAACGGTGCCCCCGTTCAGTATAAGATCGAGATCGGTTCGGGGAGGGTAATTACCCTAGTGTTCTGCGTGCTTGTTGGATGCTCTTGTGCACCCCGGGAAGGTACCCTTGGATGTTGTGTGTGTGTGTGTTGGCTGGCGGGGGGGTCTCGTGCTCTTGAAGGATGCTCTTCTGGCCCAGGCCGCACTGTATCATTCTGGATAGCTGCACGGACTACACTTATGTCGGGCCTGTCCCTCTACAGGAGGAATGTTCAAACATAGTTCTTTTTTGAAACAAAAAAGTCCGGGGACGATTTTTTACTACTTTTTGAAGTGTTTGAGTAGTTGTTTGGTTTGATTACTTTTTCGCCCCAGATCCCCCTGTAGGGGGAACGCGCCCGACCTAAGACCGCACGCAGCACGCCAGGGTGCAGCATCCAGGTGTGTGTGCGGCCAGCGCCGCCGCGGCGTCGGCGCAGCCTTCTGCGCGTGGCGGCCCCTCGAGAGCCAGCCAGAGAGGCGCAGCATCAGGTCGGGCCCGTCCCTCCACAGGGGAAGTGCTCGGGAATACAAAAAAACAAGTTGGGGAACGATAGTTTTGAAAATGTGTGCGTATGTTACTACATGTTTCTATCACTTCGTATCTTTCACCCAAAAGCCGCCTGTAGGGGGACAGGCCCGACCTGAGCGTAGCACTTGGCGCCTCCCTCTCCCAGGGGTCCAGGGGGCCACAGCACGCAGCCGGGCGAGAAGTGTTGGCAACGTGCACGGCGCGGCCAGGCTGAAAACAGTGCGCGAGCGAAAGAGAACACAAGCAGTGGCGAAGCGTCCTGGCTCGCCCATATCAGAGCGTGAATTACCTACCCCGCTTTCGCTTCCAGGCAAAACCAAGTCATACCACGCGCCTCCTCGTCAAGCGGCCTGATCAGTACAGGCCGTAGTTTGGCATCGCTTGGCATCGCTTGGAAGCGAGGGTGGTCAAAAGCGAGGTAGGCTTGCTTGCCCCCTACTACAGCCCTACCAAACAATGTTATAAGAACCTTATTTGGTTCCAACGACATGTTCTTAGACCATTTCTGGTGGAGATTGTCTTGTTTTATCACATGGGGTTTATGTTCTAAGGACACTGTTTTCGTGCTACGAACATGTCGTGGTAGGACTATAGGAATGCCGGGACGGTCGGTCCCTGCTCAAAGAACGCTCACCACAAAAGGATCGCCAAGCGATGCCTCCCCTGTCGATGGTGGCAGCGTGCGCAAGTGCGCACCATGGGCGGGTTGCTGGCAGATCTCTTCCATTGGCTTGCGCGCCCTGTAGCAACATTGACCGGCGGATGCAACTTGAAGCTCGGGCGTACTGCCAAGGTGGTCCACCAGTGGGTCGCAGGTATGGCTGCTCCCAGTCCACGCCTTACGGCTTCGTTATCTCAATGATCCGCTTGTCATAGGCCGCGCAACGAATACGCGATAGTGTTTCGTAACACTGGCAGGTGGGTGCCACTTGATGCGACTGGCCCCGCCCGCATTGTTTCAACCAACAGCGTTTCGACTTCCAGCCCCGTGCCATTTTTGCAACGTTTTTTTCACTGGGATGCAAGTGTCAGTGCAGGCTCGAGAACGCCGTACCCTTCGAAACATAACCAACACACAGAATCATGAACTCTCGGAGTTCCGAAAATAAACCTCCGAATGTCTTCATGAGAACGTATGTGTGGTCTTCTGTGGGGTTCTCAAAAGCCTGGTTCGGGCTTTCGTGCTATCCTGGCGTTTTTTTTTTTTTAAGTGGCCATATTTGGGCCCTCTTGCGGCCATCTCGGGGCCTTCGAGCGAGTGTTGGGCTGCCTTGGATCCATCGTGGATGGTTTGGGACTGCCTCGGGGCGCTCTCCAGGGATGCTCCTGCGCCATCTTGGGGCCATGTTGGGCTCGTTTGGGGGCCGATTTGGGGCCGTTTAGCGATTCCTTGTTTCTGGTGGGAGCTATATTGCAGTTGCTAAGGGCGAGTCGTGGTCTTTCTCACGTTATTGTTCTCTCAGGGGCCTGCTGGAGGGCCTCTTGGAGGCTTAGGGGCTTTGCATTGCCTTGAGAGTTCTTTGAATACTCTGGACAGCTGTTGTCTCCCCGTGGGAAATCTTAGAGGCAGTTTGGGCGGCATTCGTTGCAGTTTTGGTGATCCTGTGCAGCTATCTGACGGATTTCAAGCTGCGGACGGCACCTGAGTGGCTTCGGGCCGCTTCGGAGGCCTCGGCACAAGGGCCTCAGCACAATGTAGGCGCGAGACGGAGGGGGCCCTAAGGGCGGCTGCAGATGCCCAGCCAGACAGCACAGAAGCATTATACGTAAGACCACCTCACGGGGTGTCAGGAGCACGATGGCGAATCAGACGTCGGCGGCGCGCCGAGGGGGGAAGTGAAATGGGGCAGTCCTTCACAGAAGGTGGCGTGGTTTCTGAGCAGCCCTTGGGCCTTTGAGCCATCTGAGAGGGATCGCCCCCTCTGCCTCTCCCCCCCCTGGGGCGCTGCCGAAGAAAGGGCAGCCCTGGCGAAAAGGAACAAACCAAACTCGATCGAGTGATGAGGCAGGACAGGGAGACAGGTGAGCGAATCGGTGCGGTGATAAGGCCGAAATGGCACGGTCTCGACGAATATGGCGCTGTCGGTAATACGGTGGGTGATCTGCAGCTTTCGAGAAGGCAGGTTGCATCTTTTCTGTGCCAGCCACCGCGGCAGATTTGGGCGTTTCATTGTGTTTGGTGGAGGAGGAGCTGAACACTGTTCGCTGGCACTGCTGCCCTTGAAGCAGCTATTGGCTTTGCTTCCAGCGTCCCAACTCCCATCTTGTTTGTCCCTCCCTTCCTCCTACTCATTATCGTTAATGGTGGTTGAGCTGAACACTGTTCGCTGACACTGCTGCCGTTGGAGTAGCGATAGGCTTTTCTTTCAGCGCCCCCACTCCCACTCCCACTGTGCTTGTCACCCCCTTCCTCCAACTCCTTCTCGTTTATCCCGCCCCCTGTCGTCGACTCCACCTGTGGCCGCTTGTCTCAGTGGCGGCGGTGTCCTCTGACAGAGCGGCATAGGGACAGCACTCAGGAGTTTGAGGGTCTGCAGCATTTTCGTAACACCGATTCCGGGATGTGGGCGAGATGACGTCAGAACATCGTTCGGCCACCGATGGGTTGTTTTTTGGTGTTGCCCTGCCCCTCTCCAAGTATAGCCGACGCGTCCACGCAGCTGTACACGTACCAGAGCCCGGCAGGCCTGTTGGTCTTGGCCCTCAAGGTGTGCATCTTCTGCTGGTTCCCTTTAGGGAAGCTTTGCACGCCTGCGCTTCCGGGGAGGAGGACGACGAGGGGGAGGAGAAGGATCAGAGTAAGCCGAAGATGTATCAGCGATGTTGCAGTGCTCGCGCGGGCCCAGGCCTGGGATAGATCGTTCCATAGTGTTCCCGAACGCCCTCAGAGCGCTCTGGAGCGTTCCAGAATGGCCGCGGCGCCCGACATTGCCTCCAGAACCGCTGGATCTCAGAGGTCCCCGACGTATCCCTGTCCGATTGTGCCTTGGTCCGGGCTCCATCTTGAATGCGCCATCCCGCCCAAGTCTTAGGTCGGGCGTGCTCTTCTACAGGCGGGTTCTGGACGAAACCTAAGACTTTATCCAATACTAGTGATATATATATATATATATATATAGTGTATATATACATATCTATCTATATATACACATATATATATATACATATTCAAAAATGTTAAAAACTCGTCCCCATATGTTTTCAATAATTTTGAATGTTTCTCCTGTAGAGGCACACGCCCGACTTAACCCAAGTCCCCTTTTTCGGAAGCCCCCACGAGCAGTGTTACCAATTGCGCGGAGCGCTCCCGTCGAAAGGCAAGCGCCGCACGGGCCTCCCGTGCAGGCGCAAGCCCCGTTATGAGCAGCGATCATTGCGGAAGTCTCAGGCAAGAGCCGCCTGTTGAAATCGAGCCGCCCTCCATCCATGTAATTCCTCCATGGATGGAGCCAGGAGGGGGAGGAGGAGGAGGAGGAGGAGGAGGAGGAGGAGCAGGAGGAGGAGGAGGGGAGGAGGAGGAGGAGGAGGAGGAGGAGGAGGAGGAGGAGGAGGAGGAGGGGGAGGAGGAGGAGGAGGAGGAGGAGGAGGAGGAGGAGGAGGAGGAGGAGGAGGAGGAGGAGGAGGAGGAGGAGGAGGAGCTCGTATGGAAGATACGAATGCGTGGCTGCCGTGGCCCGCAGCCGGCGGAGTCGGACCCGTCGAGCTCGCTGTTCGTGGACCAGTGCGCAGGATCGGTCCGACCCTGGGAGCCTCGCCTCGAGCGCGGCGTTGTTCGTCTTAGGGGCCACATGCGAACCCTACCCCTACCCCCCACGATTTCTGAGGGGGAGGGTGGGGTTCACTTCGCGCGGGAGCTCCCGAGCGAGGTGAACCCCACCCTCCCCCTCAGAAATCGTGGGGGGTAGGGGTAGGGTTCACATGTGGCCCCCTAAGTCTCGCCTCGAGCGCGGCGTTGTTCGCCATCTCGTCGACGATCGTGTAACCGCTGGACTCGAGCCGGATGTTGAAATCGAGCCGCCCTCCACTGTGGCGCCACGGCGAGTGGTCCATTTTGTAAGCGGCCCGCTCTCCGTGCGTGTGACTGCTGCTTGTGTGCACGACGGACGTGGGCAGCGCCAAGGCGAGGGCCCCATGGTTGCAAACGGCGTGCCTTCCTTCCAAAAGCTGTAAGAAGAATGCGCGCGGTGCCAAGGCGAGCAGTTCGAAAACGCTTCGCTCTACATCCGTGCAAGTGTTGGAAATGCTACTCTTCAAGCTTCAGGCGAAACCCGCGGCCCGCCCTAACGACACGTCTGCTGCCGCGGCAGCGAAGGACGCTATTCATAAGAGAGTGGAGCGGTGGACACAGCAAGGCACAGGAGGAAGTGCGACTTGGTTTGGCACTCGTCGATTCTCACTCTTCCTTACCACTTGATCCGCTGGAGAGAAAACAAGGCACGCGGCTGCGGGGCAGACATCCGAAGAGGCCGGCAAGGAGGCCGAGATTCCCCGGAGCTCGAAGAAAGTGGGCACCTCCTCGGCGAACGCCGAGACGAGCGTACAGCGGAGGCCCATGCCAAGAAACACCCTGCTTGCCTCCAGGGTGCCCTGGCTTTTTTGGGTCTCGATGGTTTTGCTGTGGAAGGCGTGACGTCCCCACGCCAAAAACCAATGGACGTCCTGGGGTCTCAGGGTTAGGTTTCTTGTGGAAGGTTCCTTGTGGTCGAGCCCATACTGTAACACCACATTGACGCATCATGTCGTTATAGCCCAAAGTCCGCGCGGATCTCTTGGGTCGGCGCTGGACACCCCTGGCGGCGCCTTTGGCGCCGCCCTTGGGACGCTCCGCGCACTAGGGTTGGGGTTTCCGTCGCCGATCGCGGAGTTCCGAAAGTGCAGGTTTACGCAATTAGATCTCATCTGAAGAGCCTGCGGAGGGATTACGTATGAGCTCATGTGGGGCTCTTTGTAGCTTGATGAGGGCCCTTGTTGCATTGCATCCTCGGGGGACCTCGTCTTTCCCGTCGCGACCCTATCCGCGTCGAATCCGTGTCGAATCCATGTCGGCCTCGTCGGATCCGTGTCGAATCCGTGTCGGATCCGCGTCGAATGCCCGCCAAATCCGCATCGAAGCCGCATCGAGCCCGCGCCAGGCACAAAAAAAGACACCAATTTGTGGGACAGGCGGGGTCCCCCGAAGATGCAACGTAACCCTTGGGCTGTCCTGGAGGTTCTTTCTGTGGCCAGCTGCGGGCAGTCCTGCGGCCACCTTGGGCCCTTCGGGCTGGTCCTGGGCTGCCGTTGATCGATCGTGGGGTGGCTGTTGGCTGCCTCGGGGCGATCTCCGGGTGTCCTCGGGTGCCGTCCTCGGGGCCATGTCGGGCCCGCTTGGGGGCACCCCCGACATCCTCCGGCCGCCACCCCCAGGAGGAGGAGGAGGACGGGGAGGAGGAGGAAGAGGGGGAGGAGGGGAGGAGGAGGAGGAGGAGGAGGAGGAGGAGGAGGAGGCGACCCATCTTTTTCCTCTTCCCCTCCCTCCTCCATTCATGTTCCTCATGAACAACTCCCCGTCACACCGCGAGGCCAGTCGGAAAGGCGGGCCGGGCGTTTCTCTTGAGATCTCCTTACCATGAATGTTCTTGAAGCTTGGAAGTGGCAACGGCTTCATAGATGGAGGGCGGGCGGTTTTGAACATGTGGTTCTCGCCTTAGTGTTGCGCGCATTCGCTTTAAACATTTTAGCGCCGCGCATATTCGTTTTAACAATGTGCAAGACCTTCATGGTTTTAGGGTGGGCCGTTTTCAGATTATGATTGTTGTTCTAGTGTCGCGCGCAAGCGCCTTAAACATTTGCAAGAGCTTCACGGTTTGAGGGCGAACCGTTTTCAACATGTAGTTCTCGTTTGTGCGCCTCGCAAGCTCGTCTTAAACAGATGCAAGAGTTTCTCGGATTGCAGTGGTCAGCGTACCAGGAACGGTGTTTTCGAGCGATTCAGGATTGCCAGGGCGCAGCAGTTACTGTTATTCGCGGTGTTGAAGTCCCAGGAGTGGCGTTCTGGCGCGATTCAGGGCCAAGAAACAACAGACAGGTTGATTCGTGGCGCTGGGGTCCGGAGAACGGTGCTCCGACGAGCTCCAGGATCTTCAAACAGTTGTCTTCTGATGGGGCATCCTCAGTTGACATGAATCCTTGTCAGGGGCCTCCGAAGTGGGAGTTCGAAGGAAGGTTGATTGCAACATCGTTGGTGAATCAAGGGTTTACACTGGTCCTCCTCCTCCTCTTTCTCCTCCTCCTCCTCCGCTTGTTCCTCCTCCTCCTCCACCTTCAGCTCCTCTTCCTCGTTTGAAATCAGTACCTCGCTGCGGCGTTCGTGCGTCGGTGCCGTCGGCGAGGAGAAGAAGAAGACAAAGAAGAGGAAGAGGAAGAGGAGGAGGAGGAGGAGGAGGAGGAGGAAGAGGAGGAGGAGGAGTAGGAGGAGATGAGACGAGGAGGAGCGGCGAGGAGCAGAGACAAGGAGGAGGAACGAGGGGGAGAGACGAGGGGGAGAGACGAAGAGGAGAGACGAGGAGGCGAGGCCCCATAATGAGGAGAACCCGAGGAGGAGGGACGCTGGAGGAGAGGCTGAGCACCCCCGGCATCCTCCAGCCGGGCCCCCCGGGCGGCCGAGCCTCCCGCCCCCCCCCCCCCCCCCCCCCGGCCGATGGCTGCGGCCCCCGCCCCTCCGCCGAGGTTTGCGCGCACCGTGCGCGCAACCGTCGCGGAGGCGCGGGGGGGGCGCGCGGCGCGCCGCCTTCGCCGCCGCCGCCGCGACGCCCCCTGGCGTCGTCGACGTCGGTGCCGTCGTCGTTGTCGCGGTGCTCGCCGTGGTTGTCATCGTTGAGGTCGTCGTCGTCATGGTCGTCGTCGTCGTGTTCGTGGTCGTCTTGGTCGTCGTCGACGTCGCTGCCGCGCCGTCTCCTCCTCTCCTCCTCCTCCCCTTCCTCCCTCCTCCTCCTCCTCCTCCCTCCTCCTCCTCCTCCTCCTCCTCCTCCTGCTCCTCCTCCTCCTCGTCTACTCCTCCTCCTGCTCCTGCTCCTGCTCCTCCTCCGCCTCCGCCTCCTCCTCCTCCTCCTCCTGCTCCTCCTCCTCCTCGTCTACTCCTCTCCTCCTGCTCCTGCTCCTGCTCCTCCTCCGCCTCCGCCTCCTCCTCCTCCTGCTCCTGCTCCCTCGTCATCCTCCTCCTCCTCGCTCCCTCCTCCTCATCCTCTTCCCCTCCTCCTCCTCCCTCTCCTCCTCCTCCTCCTCTCCTCCTCCCTCCTCCTCCTCCTCCTCCTCCTCCTCCTCCTCCTCTCCTCCTCTTCCTCCTCCTCCTCCTCGAATCCTCCTCCTCCTGCTCCTGCTCCTGCTCCTGCTCCTCCTCCTCCTCCTCCTCCTCCTCCTCCTCCTCCTCCTGCTCCTGCTCCTCCTCGTCCTCCTCCTCCTTCTCCTCCTCCTGCTCCTGCTCCTCCTCCTCCTCCTCCCCCTCCTCCTTAGCCGTTCTGGCACAACTCATTTTCTTGTGCATGCGATCACCGATCTTCAGAACGGCTGGGTGTTCGCGGGCCAGAGTGGCTCGGACACCCTTTCCTCTCACGGCGGCGCTGCGATGTCTCCTGGTGGCAAGCCTCGTAGCGGCTACGACGCCACTAAGAAGTGGACTTGCGGGCATTGCGGATGCCGCAAGAACTTGGGGAACTACACGTGGTGCAAACATTGCGGCAAGAAGTGGAATGAGCCCGTTCCAGGTGACGGTCAGGCCAGAGGTGGAGGCGTCCCCCGAGGAGCGGCTGCTGCTGAAGTTCGTCGTGCTGCAGCAGACGCAGTGTCGGGAAGGCCTCCACCCGCGCGGCCTGCTTCCGCCCCGACTGCGACCAAGTCTGAGTTGCAGCAGCTGGTGGAGCTCAGCGCCAAGGTGGGGGACGCGTCTCTGCTCTCCTTGGCGCAAGAGAAGGTGGCCCAGTTGGCGCAAGCCCCTCCGCCCCCGCAGCAACGGGCGGACGCGGCTTTCAAAGAGACCCAGCGGCTCGAGAAGAAGTTGGATCGCGATCTGGACCACGTCCACGGCCTTGAACGAAAGTTGGCTCAGCAGCGCGCGGACTTGGAGGTCACGCTGCAGGAGCTTGAGCGATACGATCAGGAGTACAAGTCTGCCATCTCAGAGCTGCACCTGTCTGTCACGGTCCAGCCGTCTCAGCCACAGCAGGAGGCCCCAGCCGCCCCAGTGCTGCGCCTGCAGGACATCATGGGTGGCAAGCTGTCCTCGTTCGTGCTCGACGACGGCGAAATGTTTGGGTTGGCGGAGTTTCAGGACGTTACCCCAGAAGACCTACGTGAAGCCCAGTCTCGGAAGGAGCAGTTGTCAGAGCGCATCACTACCTTCACGACGGCCCTGTTCGGGGAGGTTCAGTCTACGTGCGTCGAGCTTAAGAAGAACCACCAGGAGCAGGCCAAGCGGCCCGAGAAGAAGCGGAAGACGGACGCCGAACCTGTTGGTGCTGGTGCACCTGCAGGAGACGCCGTTGCCGCCTCTGAGGCATCGGGAGCGTCGGCCTCGGCTGCTGGAAGCAAAGCCGCCCCTGCGCCGCCCGTTGCCCCAGGCGCCCCGCCTTCCAAGCCTGGCGCCTCTGTCCGTGCCCAGGCTCGCGAGGCGGTCAGTAGGGCACCGAACAAGGCGCCCCCCGCGGTCCCAGACGGGAAGGCGCCGCCACCAGCGGGCCCCCCCCCAGCCAGGGGTGCGGCGTGCTCCTAGCCAGACCTGTGCCGAGCCATCACCTTCTTCCTACCCTAGACTCCCTACCTCCTGCCCAGTTTTGGATGCCCCACGGAATCCGTGCCAGCATCGCCCTTGGGACCATGGAGATTTTGTTGTTGCTAATGAGTCTATTGAACTGGAGATAGTGACGGCTAGCGGCACGGCTTGGAGCTCGCTCCAACAATTTGGGGGAATTACCTCGGCCCACATCGTGCTCGTCCAGGAGCGCAAGCTCATAAGCGCTGAGGACATCAGGAAGGCTTCGGCCTGGTGTGTGCGAAACGGGTGGAAAGCCAGCTTCGAACTTGGAACCTTGGGGCCTGGGGGGGGGGGGGGCTTTCGGCTGGGGTCGGGGCCCTGGTTAGGTCCTTCCGCGGGTTGCACCAATCCGATTTTGGCCCCACGATTCGGCCCCACAGGGCCCTCGGTGCTCTCGTCCACCTCCCAGGCCAGGCCTCTTTCCACGTTGTTAGTGTCTACCTGCAGGATTGTGTTGGACTTAGCGATTTCAATCGGGATATTCTTGCTGGCGTAGCGGCGCGAGCAAAGAGCATGTCTGTGCCGTTCCTTGTCCGTGCCGACTTCAACTTGGAGCCCGCCGTGCTAGCAGGCTCGGCGATTCACCGAAGGATGGGGGCTGACATTGTGCACCCCCCTGGCGTCGAGGGCACCTGTCGCAGCACTGGGGGCGTGAAGATGGTTGATTTCTTCCTTTGTTGCCCCCGCCTGGCGCAGGCGATTAAAGGCGTGAAGATAGTGGGCGATTCGGAGTTAGCGACGCATGACCCTGTCTCCCTCACCTTCCACCCCTCCCTTGCGCCTCTCAAAGCTTTGACCTTTCGACGTCCCCCACCCTTGCCCACTAGTCGGCCCGCGGGACCTTGCCCTGAGCCCCCCTTTGAATGGGGAGTTTTGGATCGGTTGGCCTCCCGAGCCCTGGCTGCGGCCGAGAGTGGGGAGACTGATGCTACCCAGTAACATCTTGACACCATCTACAAACATTGGGCCAACACGGCTGAAAAGGAGCTCGAAGGAGTGTTTCAGTGCCGCCTTTCGCACCACGGCAGTCGTGGGCGCCAGGCGGAGTTGCACTGGGTCAGCGTGCTGCAGCCGAGTTCGGCCTCGATGGAAGGTGCTTCGTCGACGTCGCAGTTGGATTCGCAGCTCCGCTGGCTCAGCAATCGGCATCGGCTTTGGCTGCAGCTGTACGCCTTAGGAGCGTTGACGGCTGAGCCCGAGCACCCCATCCTCCCCGCGTTTTGCTCGTAGCAGTATAATCGAAATGACAGTGTCAGGACGCGCCGAGCACAGCTCGGCACGCAGCAGCCATCTCTGCGCCACGGCTGCGGAGCTTTTCAATCCCCCTGCCAGGCTGGGAGAGTGGAGCGGCCACGCGGCCGCGCTACTTCTGCGCTGCAGGGATGTCGTCACCCACAGCCCTCCTGGTCAGTCCGTCGTCTCTGGGGAACCTGAATACGCCCTGGATGCGGTCTCCCAGGCCCAAGCTGTGGCCGAGAACGAACATCGCAATGTTGAGAAACGTAAGTGGGTGTCATGGCTTAAGACCAACATTGAGTCTGGGGCTCGGCATGCCCATGGGTTGTTTCGGGGGGCCCCTGCTTGGACCCCCACCACGACCCTCAGCGTCAAAGGCGAAGTTGTTTCGGACCCACAGGCCCTCCTTGAGTCCGAATGTGCTACGTTTTCTGGTTTTTGGCATGCCGAAGACCAGCAGGCCCCCCCGGCGACAGGTGCCCGCTTTGAGGTGCTCGAGCCCTTGCCCGAGTTGACCCCAGCCGACCTTCGTCGTGTCCCTAGGCCTTTCCCGAAGCACACGGCCACCTCGGTCGACGGCTTTCATGTTAGCCACTTCCAGCACCTCTCGAATCAGGCGCTTGTCGTCCTCTCTCGTCTCATCGCCACGTCCGAGAAGCCAGGGCACTTGCCGATGCAGATGCGCGTGCTGCTGATCATCATGCTTGCCAAGCCCGAGGGTGGTCACAGACCGATAGGATTATTCGTGTCAGTGCATCGTCTCTGGGCCCGCGCTCGTCGTGAGTATGCTCGCAGGTGGGAAGCGGCTAACAGCAGGGACTTCTTCGCCGCGGGCTCCTTTGCCTCGAGCGTGGACACTGTCTGGCGGCAATGCGTACGTAGTGAGAAGGCTGTTTCTTCCGAGTTATGCCCCAGTTCGGTTCTTTGGGGCCTTCTCAAGTTTTATGAATCGGTCGACTTGGATCTTCTCTTGCAGCGTTGCCGCCAGCACGGTTTCCCCATGCAGATTGCGAGAGTATGCGATGTTGCTTACCGCGCCTGCCGCTACATCGCCATGAACAGCAGGGTCATCGGGCCCAAGTTCGCATGGCGAGGTCTTGTGGCAGGCTGCGGCTCCGCGACCACTTTAATCCGTGTCTTCAGCTTAGCTGCCTTGGATGGGCTTAGCTTGCCAAGATCGGTCTCGTTGAAGATATATATATATATATATATATCGATGATTACACCTTGTCGCGCCAAGGGACCGCTCCGACGGTCGTTAATGACCTCCTGGAGGGGGCCATTAAGTTGCAAGTGGTCATCGAGGGCGATCTTGGCTGCGCGATCGCTGTCAAGAAGGCGGTAGCTCTCGCCTCGCATCTTTCCGTTGCTAAGGCCGTGCGCCAAGGTCTTGGCACGGTGGGCGGAGCGCCGTGTGACTCCGCTGCCAACCTCGGCATCGACGATGCTGCTGGCAGGCCCCGTCGCGTCGCTCGTCGAGGAGGCAGGTTTAAGGTTCGTAAGACCCTGTTTTCGGCCAAGGTTGCTCGTCTGACTCGTCATAAGAGAACCCTCGGTCGACACCCGCGTCGAGTTTTCACGATCGGGCCCCTTGCCAGCCGAACCTACGGTTGCGAGGTGCACGGCGCCTCGGACCATGAGCTTTTCACCCTTCGGAGAGCCATGGGGCGCTTCTTGCAGCCCTCCGCTGGATGGAGATCTCTCACGGCTGCTTTGCT